TTGCTTTAAATTTTTGTGGTCTTCATGGTGAATTCTGTTAAAGGCAGGGGCGTCTGGACCTTCATTAATCCCTGAGAAGTGAGCATTTTCTCTTCCTAACTTTTGTCGGAATCCCACAAGTTATCCGGCTTGTTTGTGTCTCTCCCGTCACTTGAAGATTATATGAGCAGAGTGACAAAGTTCTAGGTTTGTGCTCCACAGGCGAAGGGAAGTTTGAACTCGCCTCCTTCTTCCAAGATGAGAGACCTTTGTATTTCTAAATTAGATAGTCTGCTTCCAGGGCAAAATTTAGTTAAGAATCTTCCCCTTGCCCAAACAATGATGGGAGAAAATGAATTGAATAACTGGTGCAGGATGGCAGCCGTGTGCAATTTAGCTAAGAATATTGGGAAATCATGCCTCACGGCTTAGAAATAATGAGCTCCCAACATGTTTTCTAATCAAAGTATCGGCATGGAGTCACCATGTTTAGCAAACGTCCTATCATCAAGGAGGCAGTACATCAAAAGTTCACCGTGGATATTATTATTTTTTTGCCTCACCTTTATATTAGATCTGCCTTCTTTAGCACCCCATCTCCCTTTTATAATAGTTTAAAGCCATCCCTCCCTCCCCACAAAACAGTAGATGTGTAAGAAGAGCAACCCTTATCACATTTGTTCCAGCTCCGGCGGACCAAGAACCATCCCTGTCGTCCTCAGTTATCTTTGTATGCAGTGCTGTTTTGAGCACAGGTTTAATACACAAAAGATTGTTTCCCCCAAGATTTAGGTACCTCATAAATCAAGCTGACAAGTCACGTGGCAAGGTTTCCTCCTGTTTTGTCTATGGTACGCCAAGAGATTATACAGTAGAGTCCTCAGTGGCTTATTGTCTAATAATGTCAGAGGGCTATATTCTCCACAGGCTATATTAGACTCTACATAGGTGAGCTTTAGCTAAATAAGTGTCTATATCGGCATGTATTTGTGTGTGTGTCTGAGAGAGAGAGAGAGAGAGAAACAGTAGATTTCTTTCGCTGCCCTTGTGCAGTTAATCTTACTCTGAAATCAGCAGAAGTTTCAGCAATTATATTTAGAGACTTTCCCATACAATGCTTCATTTTTCACGCAGTATTCTTTGTATGTGAATATCGTCCTTATTAACACGTTGTTTAAAAAAATCTTTTGTGAATTTTTAAGCATATATTGAGTTATGTTTTGAAAGAATATAGGGAAGCAGTTCATTTTAAAAATTACATACTTTGAATGGAATGTTGTCTCAATCAGAACTTCTTAAACTTTTCCACCCAGGAAATTTTTATATGACCTGAATTATATAGTTATATAAATAGGTATACAAAATAAACATTTACTGATAATATTTGCTGGGCGCCACAATTGAACTGAGATGTCGACAAGCTGGAATGTGTCCAGAGGAGGGCAACTAAAATGATCAAGGGTCTGGAGAAGAAGTCCTATGTGGAGCAGCTTAAAGAGCTGGGCATGTTTAGCCTGAAGAAGAGAAGGCTCAGAGGAGATGTGATAGCCATGTATAAATATGTGAGAGGAAGTCATAGGAAGGAGGGAGCAAGCTTGTTTTATGCAGCCCTGGAGACTAGGTCACGGAACATTGGCTTCAAACTACAAGAAAGGAGATTCCACCTTAACATTAGGAAGAACTTCCTGACTATGAGAGCTGTTTAGCAGTTGAACCTTCTGCTCCTGAGTGTGGTGATGGCTCCTTCTTTGGAGGATTTGAAACAGAGGCTGGATGTCCATCTATCAGGGGTGTATTATTATTATTATTATTATTATTATTATCTTTATTTGTACCCCGCTAGCATCTCCCGAAGGACTCGATGCGGCTTACAAAGGGCAAGGCCCTCAATAAAACAATAGCATAACAATACACACAACTCATAAGCAAACCAAAACAATTAAAGCAATAACAACAAAGCAGTAAAACAATACACCGTGACACAATAAAACTAGGGCCGACTTTGAATGCGACTTTCCTGCTTCTTGGCAGGGGGTTGGACTGGATGGCCCACAAGGTCTCTTCCAACTCTATGATTCTATGAATATAATAAATCAGCATTTGGAAGACTTGCTAAACGGGCTGAGTTTCCTTGTTGTGGAGTACAGCTAAAGTATTTTCTTGCAAAGTCCACTATAAACACTGCATTTTGTTGCTAACAGATTGGTGTAAATGGGTGGAATTTGGAAATCTTTTATTGTTGCCAATTTTTTGTGATCCCAACATTGAGCCATGGGGACCCCATTTGGGGTCAGGACCCACAGTTTAAGAAGCAGTGGTCAGGGTGGGCAATTTGAAGACCCCAAATGTTTATTTAATTACTTTATTATTTAATTTACATTTACATTATTTACATTTAATTACTTAATTATTTACTTCACTTGTATACTGCTTTTCTCACCCCAGAGGGGAACTCAAAGCAGTTTCTGGCATATTTATGGCAAAATCTAATGCCTCACATACATATGAAACCGAACATAAAACAACAGTAACATATAACTATCGATTAGATCATAAAAATGTAACAACATTTAACATTAAAATGTGGAGTCAAAAACATATTAATATAAACATTAAAATCACATAATCCAAAAATCATGGTCCAAGGTTGTTCCAAGTGTCAATTGCACACAATCCCTGATCATTCCTTGTATTCCCTGATCATTCCCTGTCTCATAGCCAGGTTTTTACTGTTTTCCTGAAGGCCAGGAGAGGGCGCTGATCTAAATTTTGCTTCCTTCCAACTCTTAACATTGGCTGTGCCGAACTAAGACTGATGAGAGTTGTAGTTCAGCAATCTCTGGAAAATGCCGTTGCCCATACTGTGAAGAAAGAGGCTATAACTTGTTTTGTCCCACTAGAGAGCACTGGTATATTGCGTTTACCTCCATAGGCTGTGTATACAGAGGGCTGCTGATAATAAACTGATAAGCCAAAGTATGTTTCAAACCAATATTCATTGCTCTTATAAACATTTTTTTCTAGCATATATTTTCTGTCCAATTTGTAGGTGACAATTGCATCTAAATATAGAACAAAAAGGTAGCAGACTTGATCCCACTTCTCCATTGCATTTATCCAAGCAAATATAAAAAAATAATAATCAAAACTAACAGAAAGTTTTCACCGTAATGATGAAAGCTCCCTCCATTTAGCTGCATACATACTAATAGACTTGTTCATGGATCCGTTTTAGCCATTTTACTTCAGTTTCTCTGGACAGCCATAGCGGCAAGGGCTCTGCCACCATGATTTTTTTTTTTTTTTTTGCCCGAAACGGCCCACATGGCTGACAAGTGTGGCTTCTTCCATTTTATTGAGAAGTATGCAGCACATGCTTCCTTTTTCAAACCTAGACTCCCTTGAAAGGAAAAAAGAAAATGAGCCCAGGAAGGATGCTTCCTTACCCCTGTTCCTCAAACCCAGACTCCCTTGAAAAGAAGAAAGAAAGGAACTGCAGGAATGGAAAGGGAAGCCTTGTAAGTTCCCCATTGCTGCCAATTGGCCGGATCTTCCTGGGATCTTTTGGCTGCCTTTCTATTAGCCAATTTTCAGGAGGCTCCCAAAAACAGATCTGGGCACCCAATGAAATTCGGATACCAAAAACGGATTGCCCTTCAGCCGAATTGCACAAGCCTACATATTACTGCTCCCCAGTCTTTTCTGTTTTCCCCATTTGTGTGCTTCAACCTTCAGTTCTGATGGTGCTACATTTTATCTTCCCTGTTCTGGCTAAATCTTTCACAGCCTTTAAGAGCTTAACAGTGCAGTCATAAACCTGCTTATTAAGAACCAAATTTCATTGAGCTCAATGAGTCTTATTTGCAAGTAAATGTGTTAAGATTGCAGACTAAATAATAAAGGAATGCTTCTTATTTGGATGTAATAATTGGTATCCCACTGTTCCTAATCTGAAAACAAATTTTTAAAAATGTCAAGCTAAAATCAATAAAAATAGCAGAACAGCGACACATATTTCAGAAGGATGGAAGGTATAATCCTAAGGGGTTTATAGAAATTTCCTGGAAATGTCCGTAAAATGTGAGAATGTATATTTAAAAAAAATAAATGTTAATTAAACGAGTTCCATGTTTGTGTGTGCATGTGTGTGTGCGTATTATAAAGGGAAACGGGGAGCAGGTTCCCCCTAGGCAAAGGTTTGAAGATAATTCTGGAGTTCTGCTAGTTATTTGTACATTTTTGATCATAGATGAGCAAATGTGAACGATTTTCAGGTATAGCATGAAGCTGATGTTTCTATGCCTCTGAAATATTTATGTGAATTATTAGATGTGTGTTACACTGGTGGTATACAATCGTCTTTGTAACAATTTTGACCAATGATAAACAAAGGTTTTGTGAAATTAGCTGTTGGTTGATTTACAAGATTTATATTGGGATGGGAAAAATGTGGATGCCTAGCCGGACAAATGTGGTTGACCCCTGAGCTAGCATTGGTGCTTCCCTCTTTCTGAAAAATGACTAACATCTTATCTATGGAACATGTAAAAATCAATCATTTTGGATCCCCAATCTCCTCTTGACTTATACATGAGTACTATAGTAATCCTGAAATTGGCTTCTATGTCACTTCCAGTTGTAAAAAAAAGTGGGGTTTCTTGGGCTGAGGGTGAAAACAATAACATTGCTATATTTTTTAGAGTTTGCTTGAAGGTATTTTCCCCAATAGAGTTGTTTTTTCCTTGGATGTTTCCTATGAGGAAGATATGCCCCCTCCCCCTAACCCCTGATCTATATCTTAATATACAGGATGGCAGTAAACAGACTTCCTTTCCAGGATATGGTGCAAAGTTATGTGATAGAACATCTTTTTCAAAATTCAAGATGTCTGAGTCTGTGAATATTTGAATGAATGTGTTCCTATGAATGCTGTATGCATCCCATTGAGTCCTAGGGGGGAAAAAAGCAAAATATAATTAAATTGAATCAAACAAGGTTTTCTTTTTGCTTCTTTCTTTCAGCAATTTACATTGATGGCGTCCAACTAAAAGGCTACTTTGTGTGGTCCCTTCTGGACAACTTTGAATGGACCTGTGGTTACCGCTCTCGTTTTGGACTCTTCCACGTCGACTTTGAAAATCCAGCTCTCCCTCGAGTTCCTTATAAATCAGCTATTGAATATGCCAAGGTTGTTGCCAACAATGGACTGGTTAAATCACAGAAGTAACAAATGCCTGGTAACAATGGGTTACTTATGAATTCCTTGATTTTAAAAAACAAAATCTGGTTAGTACTAATAAAAAATCAGAATGCTCGCTATAGTTTACTTGACAGCACCTCTGTTGCAGGAAAAGAAAGCCTCTCAAAAGGCCACCAAGTAAGCTGGATTCATAATTAATTATTATCCCCTGTATTAAGTGTAGTTAAGTGATTTCCCTTTTAAAAATAAATAGAGAAATGACTGCATTTATTTGCATTGTTCACTCTATTGATTACTCCCCCTGTGATGATTTCTGACTTGAGCTACATTTTCATCTGGGTTGGGCAGGACTATCACCTGCAAATTGCATGCCTGAGCAATCATGAAACCAAAATTCAGCAGTTCCTTAGAGTTTGGAGGCATCATTCAAATCCTCAAAAATAGTTGAAGGTTGTTTGAGGAGGCCACAGGAGCCCACTCCTCACTACATAAAGGGGAAGGCACACATAGTCTTCGCAAGTGTTTTAGAATGCCTGTAGCACACTTCATCTATGGAGCCCGACAACACCCATCACATGACACACACTCACTTCCGGCGGGGTTCTTTAGATGAACTGTGGCACAAGAATCCTACTTCATTTTGTCCTCGCCATGTTTTGTAGGGAGAAGTGGGGCCAATGCAAGGAGAAGCCACATGGCGTCGCTGCAAACAAGGCAGAGAGCAGGCACCAGGATTGCCCCACAGATTTATCATGGAGGCTGGCAACCCCCCCCCCCCCCCGCTGCCCCTCATCAATGTGATGAGGTCTATAAAAGAATGATAACTGAATTTGAAAAATAAAAATGCTACATTGCTATACATTTCAGAATACTTTCTCTTTGCAAATAGAGAGCATAGCTCCACATTTTAAACAGAAGTAATCCATGGGAAGGTCCAGAAGCTGTGCAAAATGCAGAATTCTCACCAGGCCAATTGAAAGCATCGTCAACTGGTACGCTGGCACTTGTATTTCTGTAAGCATCAATTAAAAGCATTTAAACTATGGACAGTCTCCGAACTTACTTACACCCAACTTACAAACAATTCATAGTTAAGAACTGGATGAGGCCACAGGAAGTGAGAGAAATCTACCCCTCGAAAGGGAAGTTTACTCCTGGAAGAGTTTTGGGGGAAAGGTGTCTCGACTGAAGCTTTATCTCCAATCTTTGTTTCCACAACAAGGCAAATATTTCAAAATCCAGTGATCACAAGGACAGAAAGTGAGGTGAAATCTTCTGAAGAGGGGCACAGACAGCAAAACAAACACCACAGGTTTGCTATCCAAAGCATGCATATATATACATTGCCAAAGAACTCATATAAAACCCATAAGATCACCATAAGGTACATACACACACAATATACAGGAAAATAGTATACACCCATCCCCACATACACTAAGGACTACATCACATTGGGCTCTTGTCATAATCACTCCTGCCCTAGCACGCTGTCAGGACGGAGCCCAACGAAGCCCATCACATGATGTAGGACAGGAGTCCTCAAACTTTTAAAACAGGGGGCCAGGTAACAGTCCCTTAAACTGTTGGAGGGCTGGATTATAATTTGAAAAAAAATGAATGAATTCCTATACACACTGCACGTATCTTATTTGTAGTGCAAAAACAATTTAAAACAACACAATAATTAAAATGAATAACCATTTAAACAAATATAAGCTTTTTAGTATTTCAGTGAGAAGTGTGGGCCTGCTTTTGGCTTATGAGATAGGATTGTTGTTGTGTGCTTTCAAATCATTTCAGATGTAGGCTGACCCTGAGCGAGGGCTGGGTAAATGACCTTGGAGGGCCGTATCCAGCCCTCAGGCCATAGTTTGAAAACCCCTGATGTAGGACTCATCCTAGGATGGAGCCCTCATTGCATAGAACAGGGATAACATGGGGGGAAGCCTGGGAGCTATGCTTTCCCCCATTTGATGGGGAAAGCTGTGATGCGGGGTGCAGGGCCACAGTTTACCCCACAGACCCACGAATTTGCCACACTGCCCAACAAATCCCCACACTGTTGCTCATGTAAGAGACCTCCCTGTGATGAGGTCCTTTTTCACATTAAAATTTTAGAACTGGAAAGTCCAAGTTGCCCATCTGAGCTTCTAAGGAATAAGCCTGAGAAAGAAACAAACAGGATTTCAGAGGTATGCCTCCCAAGGCTTTTTTGCCTGTACCAATGGCTAGCAAATGAGTTCTGTTCCTGTCTCAGAGCTAATACTTTGGTTAAGTACCTCAGTGTGAAGGAGTAACAAGGAGAGCGAGAATATCCTGCCTGGGAGCTATTTAAGTTTCTCGCAAGCAAATGTTATTTTGATCGGAATGCGGTTCAGAGCAATCGGAGAATCACTGCAGGGCCACACACTCAGGTTGGTTAGCTTAGGGGGGAAACCCAAGGCATTGAGCTGCCAGCAGAATAGTTAGGTTAGTGCAAAAAAAAAGTGTGTGTGCAGGAGGGATAACTCCTTCCTAAAACAGGGCAGGCACTGTGCCTAAGGCTATACTTATAGCGATCAAGTCAAGCCTCTGCTAAGGGAAAGTCTTGTGTACTGAGAAATGACCTTTCTTTACACTCTCTTCCACCTGTGTGCAGAGACAAAGAAAATTCAACAAAATCTAGTCATACTAATATAGGCAGACAACAAAAGAGCTTGCAACCAATAGCCACCTTGCCATGCTAACAATGGAAGGAAAGATGTTTATAAAAGGCTATATAAAGGAGGATTTTACAATAGGAAATATAATCTTACAAAGTGTTAAATCTTTTGTATACTTTTTAAAAAAATACACAGAGGCTTGATTGCTTAGTTTTAAAAAATATATATGTTTTATTTGTTTAAAAAAATCACAGTGCTTACATTCTGCAGCTGTTCACAAAAGACTAGAAGTCAAAAGTGTCTAAGATTGCTTGGCTTTGTTCTGCTGTTTTGTGTAAATCTCACATCTACTTTACCTGTGCAAATGGTACATCAAGGTGCTATGTTGGGATTAAAGCATCCTTGTACTCCCTTTGACATGTTGTATCAGTGGAGGAATTCAAAAAGAAAGTGGGTTGTCCCAAGAGTCAGTGAGTGACTGTGTCTGCTTGTGTGCAATGTAGCTGTATCTTTATATATCCTCCCCTTGTATTGGTATGACTAATAAATGGAAATATTTTCATATCATGGCAAAGTGTTGTCATTTCTGCTTGCATTGACTGCCTTGAATAAAAGCGAGCTATACCCAAAGCGGCAGTTATGGAGTACAAAGGATAGAATATCTCAAAAAAGAAAAGTGTTATCTTCTAGGCTGAGGCTGTATGCTGTTATATGTTAGCTCTATATATCTAGAAATTGCCCATTTTCCTCTCTAATACCTTGATTCTGGTGTTCAAGTCACCAACAAACATTTCTGTTTGTTATGTGCAGTAATAAATATATGATCTAAGTGATTAATTGTACATTTCTGGTTAAGTGCTATTTAAAAATTCTCTCTCCCACACCCATACATACACACAGATATCCTGACACAGACTATATATTTCCATTATTCGTTTCTCAAAAACAATATTCTCATTTTACAGAGGAAGATCTCAACTGTACAGTAGGTAAAGGTTTCCCCTGACATCAAATCTAGTTGTGTTCCACTCTGGGGAGTGGTGCTCATCTCCCTTTCTAAGCCAAAGAGCCAGTGTTGTCCATAGACACCTCCAAGGTCATGTGTTCAGCATGACTACATTACCTTCCCACAGAAGCGGTACATATTGATCTACTCACATTTGCATGTTTTCAAACTCTAGGTTGGCAGAAGCTGGACCTATCAGCAGGAGCTCATCCCACTCCCGGATTTGAGCCGCCAACCTTTTCGGTCAGCAAGTTCAACAACTCAGTGGTTTAAACCGCTGCATCACAGTAAGCATCATATATTTATCCCATACCTACCCATACATATACAAAACACATTAACAGAGGTTTATCGTATACTTCCTTCCTTCTGTACACTCTTGAAGTGTTCATCCGGAGTTTTGGAGTTGGGTGCCATCTTTATGCAGATGACACACAACTCTACTACTCCTTTCCACCTAATTCCAAGGAAGCCCCTCGGGTGCTGGATGAGTGCCTGGCCGCTGTGGCTGTTTGGATGAGGATGAACAAGCTGAAGATCAATCCCGACAAGACAGAGGTCCTCCTGGTCGATCATAAACCGGATCGGGGTATAGGATGGCAACCTATGCTGGACGGGGTTACACTCCCCCTGAAGTCACAGGTCCGCAGTTTGGGTGTCCTCTTGGATTCATCACTTACACTTGAGGCTCAGGCGTTGGCGGTGACCAGGAGGGCTTTTGCACAACTGAGACTCGGGCGCCAACTGCGACCATACCTCGTAAAGGCTGATCTGGCCGGGGTGGTCCATGCCTTGGATGCCTCTAGATTGGACTACTGTAATGCGCTCTACGTGGGGCTGCCCTCTACGTGGGGCTGTCCTCGCATGGGAAGCTGGAGCTGACAGATGGGAGCTCACCCCATCTCACATATTCGAACTGCTGACTTTCAGGTCAGCAGTTGAGTTGGCACAAGGGTTTAACTGAGGAACAGATTGCTCCTGCATTTGGGATTATTTCTTCTCTGGTATGGACAATACATGTATAGACTTCAATATATGGAGTAGAGCAGTTTCTCAACTTGGGGGTTGGGACACCTGGGGGGGGGGTCACAAGGGGGTGTCAGAGGGGTCACAAAGACCATAAGAAAACACTGTATTTTTTGTTGGTCATGGGGGTTCTGTGTGGGAAGTTTGGCCCAATTCTATCATTGGTGGTATTCAGAATGCTTTTTTATTGTAGGTGAACTATAAATCCCAGCAACTACAACTCCCAAATGTAAAGGTCTATTTTCCCCAAACACGAGTGTTCACATTTGGGGATATTGAGTTTGGTCCAGATCCATCATTGTTTGAGTCCACTGCGCTCTCTGGATGTAGATGAACTACAACTCCAAAACTTAAGGTCAGTGTCCACCAAACCCTTCCAGTATTTTTTGTTGTTTGTGGGATTCAGAATGCTCTTTGCTTGTAGGTGAACTATAAATCCCAGCAACAACCCCCAAATGTTAAGGTCTATTTCCCCAAACTCCATCTGTGTTCATATTTGGGCATATGGAATATTCATGCCAAGTTTGGTCCAGATCCATCATTATTTGAGTCTACAGTGCTCTCTGGATGTAGAATCATAGAATCATAG